AAATAGCAGTACGCCAAAGTATTCGGTTCAAGTTATAATTCACAGAGCAAACACCTGCTTCAAGTTTTTGTGAGGTGTTTTGATAAAATCTGAATTGTTGTACAAACCTATATGAACTATGTGACTCAACAAAAAATCTGGTTTAGCATGTAAGAGTAATTTGAACAAGCGCTTACGAAATAACTCAGTTTTCGATTTGCTAACTTGCCATTATCAAGAAACAGTTCATTTTGATTCTTCACAAGAGAAGTTGATTCCCAAGTAACTTTGTCTTCCTAATGAATGAGGTCACGACACTGTTTTCATCAAAATATCACACGCCACCCTCTCCAGAATAATTGATCATTGCTAGTCTAGATATGGTATTGGGAGTCAAATAATGGGTAGAAAAATAACCTGTTAGCCAAGCATACAGGTTGGGCATTGAGAAAGATGCACGCGTACTCCCCAGTGTAGATGAATTTGAAAATTTGTTGAATCAGCAGTGGATACTCAACAAAACAGCAATAGCAAGGCATGTATTATGTCCGGCGGCCATCATACTAGTCATTTTGGGTCACTTGAGCACAAAACGCCCTCTTTATCCTTCTCTGTGAGGACTCGCAAAATTCTTCTTATTTTCTTAAAATTTCCTTTTATTTTGAATAACTTACTTTATAATAGCTTTACTAGTCATTTACATCTTCTATAGTTGCAATAAATCATAGAATCAAGAGTTTCATCTTTAGTTTTATAGTTAGTGTAAATTAGGGTTTTTGCGTATTTCGATAGTGTGATTACTTGGTGATGTGTGTGTACTAAATTTGGTGGATAAGAATAAGTATTAAGTAAGAGAAAGTTTGTAATTAGAAGTGTTAATAATAAGTTAATGAATCATAAGTTAAAACACTAGTACAGATGAGTTAAGGAAAATCGGTTTGAACCGACGTGTACCGTTTGCTACTGATGGAACACATCACTTGAACACTACTTTATTATCTTAATCTCCTTGTTTTTATTTCAGTTAATTAACCCTAAAATATCCCTTAAACCAGTGACAATCTTTGACCAAAGAAAGGGAGAAAAGAAAAAAAAATGAGAGGAAATCTAGTTGCGACACTTGTTGGAAATCTAAAAGATGTTGACCAAGCCAACTTTCTTTCTTCTTATCTTCCATTTTAGCTCATTTTGCTTCATTATTTCTTCTTATGGCCGAGAGTTAAGAGGAGAAAAAACGAGAAGAAACACTTCAATTTCAACCTTGATTTTGGCCTTCTTTGAGTTGAATACAAAAATCTAAACCGATTAAACCTTCACTTTGGTACTTAGGAAGCTTTGTGTAGTAAACGTTTTGGAAGAAAGGGGTGTGGTTTTCACTTACAAGCAGCTATTGGAAGAAATCACAATCTCCTTTCCTTTTTTTCTTCCTTAATCTTGTTTAAATTGGGATAGAAACTTATGTTCTTGGCTTATTATTGTTAATGATTTTGTTTTGGATGATATAGTGGAAGAGTTAGTTAGGGTTTATATTTTCAGTTTTGATTATGGTTGTCTATCTAGTAATTGATAGTATTGAACTAGTAATTGATGGTTTTGATGATATAGTACTTGATACAACTGAGCTAGGATATGAATTTTTAGAGTAGAAATGAATTTCCAGCATTGATGATGAATCTGCCCTATTTCTGACCTACATATTTGTCCATGTTAGAGGCTGAATCAAGCTTGTTCAAAATATGAAAGTTGTAGGGAATGAAGTTAAATATCTGTCTGTAAAATTTCAGCTCAATCAGAGCATTGTAGCGTGTGAAATGACTAAATTACCCTTGACTGCCAAATGCTCTATTTCGCGGGCAGTTTTCTATTTTCTCTGAGATTGCACATTTTGACCCTGAAAATGCGTGAACTGGGTGTTAATGTCTTCATAAAAAACGTAGGTCTCTGTCTTAGTTTCGAAACACCATAAAATTTGCTCCAATCTGATAAACGTAGCTTCAGTTGTGACCAAAACACCAAAAGACGTCAAACCTGGTATTTAGCTATTCGTCTTTAAAACTAGTTTCCGGTTGCATTGCTAGACTTGCCTTGTATTTGGATGACATTAAGCCTAATTGAAGGGCTATTGTGTTAATATTGCTTATGTATGACTTTGGGTTGAGTTGAGGAAAATAATGAAATCATAAATGACTGGAAAATAGCAAAATACAAAGGGCATGCTGCCCAAATTTTTATTACTTGCTTTTATGAATATTAGTGAGATGTAAGGTTTAAGTTTAAGTTTAGGGTTAGTTGGATCTTAAGTTACATATTTATCCTTGAATGCACTTCAATAGTATTATATGAGTTGTTTTGACCAAGATTTGGTATCAACTAAGATGAAAAGTGTTAGCTTTCTCTCGAAAATTTTGAATTACCTTTGCTCACTTAAATTTTGGGATTAGTTATTCTTAGGATTTGTCGGTGATCAAGGGAATACTCTGGAAGGAAACTTTTGACATTATTTTGGCTTAGACCGGTGAATGTTCCTTGAATGTTATACTTCCAATGACTATGTGGATTATTGTGAATATTTGATTAAATGGTAAATATTTTCGATGATTGCTAAAATGAATTTTTGCTAGGCGAGTGTGTACTTTATCGCACTCGACCTAAATGAACGTAAAATTTTCAATGATCAAATGATTAAATACTACTTGTGCATGAATCTAAGCTTTTTGGTTAAACTGAGCCCCTGCTCTTCGTTGCCAGTCGACTCGAGTCAGAAGCGGACTCGGTCGGGTGACTGGTGACCTAAGGATAATGTTTGGTATACTCGAGTACGACCACGAAGGTTGGTGGAGAACTGGCCAGTGAATTGGCTAGTGACGGGAAATGAAATCAATGAATGAATGTCAAGAAACTGGAGGAATTTTTACTTGCAAATGTTTTTCTAATAATTGGAGGAATAAGGAAAATGGTTGGCAAATGAATGAATGAATGGCTCCACGCGAGCATGTATCCTTTTAATGACTGTGTTCTCATTGCTTTTGTATTGTAAATGTCTTCTCGATTGGTTGTTCTTAAATGACTAATGTTCTTGTTTTAATTACTTGATTATGTGTATGGGAATCTCACTGGACTTTTACCTCATTCCTTTAGTTTTTGTTTTCCTTACAGGGAGTACGAGCGAGGCGTGAGACTGGTACATACTAGCATGTTCTAGTTTTTGAAAATTTTGTAATTGTACTCTCGCTAGTGCTCAACTAGGGTTGAATGTATCTGAAATTCAACACTTTTGTCATATTTGGGATTGTATGAATGTTTGAGATAGAAATAAATGTAAGTATACGTCCCAAGTTTGAGAACTGTTATTTCACTTATTCTCGAGATTATACCTTATTTTATTTGAAGAGAATGAATAAGTCCTGATGAGAGTTGGGTAGACGGTCCGCCAAACCCTGGGGTACGCCCTAGGGAGAAGTGGGGTCGTCACATTCTCTACTTTGGTTTGGAATACCTCATTTTCCTTTAAACTAGAAACTAATCCATTGACTAGTAGATACTCTATATTTGTTGGGTTCTCCATGTTGGAGGTAGTGTAGGGCTACAAACAAATATTTACAACTTTGTGTAATATACCTCAATTTCTTTCCAGTGATCCCAGTCAGCTTCTCTGCACATGGGATCATCTTTTCATAGATGCTTCCGATGATTGGGAGTCCTTATAACTTGCATAAGTGAGGGAGAATTAATTGATGTATGCAAGGTATTGGTGTCTGGACACCATGCCTTGCAAAATGCTTTAAGTACATGAGAATTTCTGTCGTATGTGAAAAGCGAAGCATATAAGGCATCGAACAACTGATTTTTCATGAAACACTTGTTTGTTTCTTCCAAGAATATCTTCCAACCACTTCCAATAATTCTCAATATAACCAAATTCATTGCTAAATGTCAAGGAAGCACCCTAGTGTGCGTTCCCATCTATGATTCGCCTGCTAAGGGTTTGAAAGAGGGTTGTCTTTGACTCCTTATTATGATTTGAAAGAGAGTTGTCTTTGACTCCTTATTATGAATAAGGGATTTCCATCATCTTGAGAAAGTTCTAGTGACCAATTCTGTAATTCAGGATACTTGTGAGAAGGTCATTCACCAAAGTAAGTTCCTTATATAAGGGGATGCACCAATAATTTCATTTCTTTGTCAGTAGAGTCATCATGGTTGTTGATGACAAGGAAATACCTTTTGCTTGAAGATATAACTTCCTTGAACATCACCATTTTGTTAGGACCAACCTATAATAAAAGTAAGAAAAAAAGAAAATTTAGTTACAACGACATGATCAAAAATAGTGAGAGGTGTAGTAAATCATCGACGTAAGTTAAATAAAAAGATTTCTCGAATTTTGGTAAGCTCTCATTGAAGTGGACAGTTGCATCTACGTAACGTACTCACTCTCAAGCCATAATATGACTCTCATAGGAGTTTGCAGTTGCATCTTCAAATTTTGATCACATCTTCTTCATATATTCCTCAAACCATAATATGGCTCTTATAGGATATATGGCTCTTATAGGAGTTGGCAGTTGCACCTTCTTCAAATTAAGTATTTACCATAAATGTTGTAACGAGAGATCCTCCTATTCATGATATGCAAAGAAAAAAAAAGAGATTGGTATTGACAAGAAGTAAAGGTCATGAAGTAGGTGGATTACTTAAGTACTCCAAGTGATAAAATTCTTAATTGTAGAATCACGGGCACGATTGAATCCAAGATGCAGCATTGTTTGCAAACTAAAAAAAAAGAAAAAGAAAAAGAGAGAGGGTATCAATTTGCCTTGAATAATGGATACGAACACAAGGTGCAACTAAAAAAAAAACACTTTTTGTGATCATTGTTTTTTAAAGGAGAAAATTCAGAAAAAAAGGTCGAGGGCAATATGGCTTACTTAAATAATTTCGGTATCCCCAAATTTAACTAATAAGTTGCGTTATGTCGGGGATATTGATTCCAGCTGTAAGTTTCAAAGTGTCAATGTAGGATGCAGGGTCTGTTTGGAAGCCAGGTTTTTAAGCAAATTTTTTACCTACTAGTTTTTTAACAACTTTTGCTACAGGATCCCAAAAAACTTCTCAAAGTTTTTTACCTACACATTTCAAAATACCCAAAACACAAAAAAAAAAAAATATTCCTTCCCTTTTTTTTCTTCTTCCTCCCCCATCCCAACCCACCACCACCTCCGTCGCCGACCACCACGTCCAGCGCGGCCTCCACGTTTCCTTTTTTTTTTCCTTTCTCCCTCTCCACGCCATCTTCCCCTGCCATCCTCTCCCTTTACCGGCAGTTTGTATAACCCTTTTTTTAAAAAAAAAATTCCTTTCCCCCACTCCTCCCCCATCACCCTTCCTCTTCCCCTCTGGCTGATCTGGTAGCGAGGCTAGATAGCACCGGGGAGGGGGATTTTTCCACGCACTAGATTGCGGGGAGGGGGAGGAGAGGGGAAGGTTGAAAATTGCAAAAAAAAAAAAAAAAAAAGTTGACTGGCTTGTGGAGGAGTTGCGCCTTGACTGCCGGGCGAGGGAAGAGGGAGGGGGAAGGGCAAAGGGGAGGAGAAGGGGAAAGGGAGGAGAGGGGTGGCGGGAGGTGGCATTGGAGGAGGTGCTGGTGGAGGAGCCGATGGTGGTGCTGGAGTTGGAGGAGGTGTAGGTAGTGGTGGTGGTGCTGGTGGTGGCATTGGAAGAGGTGCTGGTGGAGGAGCAAGTGGTGGTGCAGGAGGTGGGGCTGGTGGTGGAGTTGGGGGTGGAGCAGGCAGGAAAGTAGGAGGAGGGGCTGCTGGAGGCATTGGTGGTGGTGCCGGAGGTGGAGCAGGTGGAGGTGCGGGAATAGGGGCTGGAGGAGGTCTTGGCGGATGTGCTGGAGGTGGGGCCGGTGGTGGAGTAGGGGGTGGACCAGGCTGCTGGGCTGATGGGAGGCTGCGTTGCGTTGCTGCTGGGTTGTGTTGTTGTGTTGCGTTGTTACTGTGTCTGCGTTGCTGCTGGGATGAAGAAGAAGATAGGAAAGAAAAGAAAAAGGAAAGAAAGAAAAAGAAAAAGAAAGAGAAAGAGAAAAAGAAAGAAAAAAAAGAAAAGGAAAAAAAGTTTTTCTATCTTACAAAAACTAATTTTTTTCAAAAACTTCTGCAGTGCACTACAGTAAAGTTTTAGACAAACTCCAAAAAAACTCAAGTTCCAAACAGGCCCGCAATTTTAGTGGAAACAAATACAAAAGAGAAAAAAAAAAAAAAAAAGGGGAGTAAGTCATGGAACAAATCTCATGCTGAGATACATCTTCTCTAATGTTATGATTTGACTTTGGTGGGGGTAACGTGAATAGTTAGCAAGATGGATCTATTAAGTTCAAATCTAGCAATATTCACTAATTTTATCAAGCAAAGGAAATATTGAAGTCTTTCTAGTCTTTCCAATTTTCCAGTTGCCACGAAATGTCGCATGACTATTGTACAGGAATCCATTGAATTAACACATTCAATAGAGGTGGATTTAGCATGTATTCAACAGGAACTTTCAATCTCAGAAGGATAGGAATAAAGGCCAAATCCATATATTGACAGAGAAGGATAGGAATCAAGGAAGTATATAGATAAAGGTAGTCAATCAAGAGTCAAAAACTATCACAAGAGAAATACATATATAGTTGCAATCAGCCCGCATGAAAGTCAAGTAAACATAGAACAAAACCATATATTCATAGGAGAAATTAAACAGATCTGCAGTGCTAGCCCTTAAACATTCATGATAGCCATCAAATTTTAAATCTAGCCATCATCTATAGAAACTCTAACCAAACATTTACTAGATCAGTCTCTGACAGCACTCATCGATTCAATCTCCTCAATCGGTTCAATTTCAGGTTTAATACTAGAATCCTCTGTGCTTTGACCTTTACCATCAAAACTTACCTCAAATTCAATCATGATTTCTTTTCACATCATAATGCAATATACTATATCCTTCCCAAATCACAAGTATTCTCTTAGAAGAAGTATTCAATAATCAAGTACAAGAATCCAAAACTAGCAGAATTCATAACTCAAGCTAGCCGGTTCTAAGCGCAAATCAACTAAGTTTGAGATTTCTACTCGATATACATATCTATTTTTCCCAATAATAGTAATTCATTTCACATTTAATAAGCAATTTCCCACAGTTCGAGAGTCTTCTCCTGGCTTGATTTCATTAAAAGTTCTGATACTATTTGTGACGACCGCATCTCCCCCTATGGCATACCCTAAAATTTAGTAGACTACTTGCTCAACTCGCGTCAAGACTCACTCACTAAACATTTTCAAATCAAATCAATAACACTAAAATCCTTCAATATAACATTTACATGCTATAAGTCATCCAAATATACAAATCAAAGTACAAGCCGAAAAGAAAAGAACCTAAACGACTAGTACCATAATACAATGCCGGCCAAAAATAAGATCAAAATCTCCTATTACACGCTATTACTATTCTTGTCTCTCATCCGCGCACCTTGTTAAGGAAATCAAGTAATAGGATGAAGTAAAAGTCCAGTGAAGTTTCAAGAAAAACATGCAGTCAAAATGGCAAGATAAAAAATCACATATCTCAGAATCTTAAAACAAAGAAAGGAAACAACTACAAGAGAGTCATTAATAATTCATATATTCAAATAAACAATTTATCATAGTAAGAAAATGATACCGATACTGATACGGTAGTTCCCACCAGGTTCTAGACAGAGCACTCTGGATTCAAACGTTGATACAACTAATATAGTGGCTCCTGCCAGATTCCAGGCAGAGCATCCAGGATTCAAAAATTGATACAACTGATATGGTGGCTCCTACTAGATTCGATGCATAGCATTTAGTCTCATTTAGTATTTCACTTACAGCCAGTCCAGCAGTAGCATTTTTCGAGTCTATTAATAATCTGTCAAAATTTGAAATACAACAATAAATAATATCTGCAGATCATCACTTTATGCCAATCTCCGTCCATTGATCAACCCCCTACCGGGACCAAAATTCACGATTCCAAAGGATGCATCTAGCGAAATAAATAATAGATACTACCCATGATTCGTTAATCTCCTCGACCAAATCCTTACTGAATTGATTTGACTAACTAACCGATAGGGTTTGAAATTCCAAGAACAAGTATAGTCAATGAGATAGCATCTAAACCGACTTTCAATTCATGCACATGTATATTAGTTCACTTATAAATAGGTCACTTGTAAACAGGATAACAAGAACTCAGTCAAATCAGGTCGAGTGCGATAAAGTACACACTCGCCTATTTAATATCAAGTCAAGCAAGCTTAGCAGGTCAAGCGCAATAAAGTACACACTCGCCTTTGCAATAACAAGTCAAGATATCTAGCAATTTCAAGCAACAAGTCACATGAAGCATCAATCAAATAAATCACATGGTCCTAACATGAAGTTGGAACACTCACCAATTGATCACAATTTTTCACTTCATATCCTGATTCTTTCTCTTAGACACTTTCAAGTCCTGGAATCATATATTAAATCAAGAGTCGAGCAACTCAAACCAATATACATAAGAAAATTAGAGCTTCAAAGCTTCATTTAGAAAACACATTAATTAGCAGGTTTTACCCCAATTGTAGTTTCCAAAGTTGCATAGGTTTCTTGTTCAAATCAAGAGAAAAATTCACATGCATGCAAGGTCAATGTTTCAAGCAACATATAGAGCAAACAGATGTCAATCATAGGAAAAAATTTCAAAAAAAATGAGACAAGACTCTCAGTGTTTACAACTAGAACTTTCGAGTAATCAAATGTAATAGAGTTCTTCCTCATAAACCTTTTTGGTTAGCAAAATCCAACAGACAGGCAAAGATCAAAGTCTTGTCAAGTGTTTTGAACCACAATATGTCAAAACCCTCATAAGCAAGTAACAAGTACTGTTAGGCAAAAATCCTATCCAGAATCCATCTATAAATTGTCACATACCCAAAACTCTAAAGAACAAGATTTTTGCTTCACCAAAACTCTTTGTTAAAAGTTCAAAATCAACATACATATGAAGAGTAAGGTTTAACAAGTGTCTTGGACAAAAGTAACAAGAATATGTGCAAAAGTAAGTCAAACTAGCTCTCCCTCTTTCAAACGACCAATCAAGTAAAATGTGGAGCAACTTGTCCCCAAGTTCCAGGTAAACCTCCAACTTCCACCCTATTCCCATAGTAAACACACTAGCAATCAAACTAACATATCATGAAGTGTATGATGCATATGCTAGACAAGGAAATCCATCAAACTTTCACATACATAAAGTTCAAAACTAACTAACTAGATTATGCACCAAAGTTGAAATTTTTGCAACATAGCTTGAAATACATAAAATCCTTCATACAAGTCCTTCTCTCACTCACCCCGTCAACCAAGCAAACTTAGCAACACTTAACCCCCAATTCCTTCATCTAAACTTCCAAGTTTTGACTTTATCTGCATAGCAAAAACAAAATAAATCATAGTTAGCATAATATATGTCATATAGTATATATTCGTGGCAAGAAAATTATCAAAATCACACAAATAATTTGCAACTAGGCTATGCACTTCATGTACCAAAGTTGGAAATTGATCATATATTTGAAAACAACATGAAACCTTCCATAGTAATCCTTCCTTCTCATCTCAGACCAATATACATCAAACAAATTCAAAACCTAGTAGATCATTAAGTAGACCTAGTAGATCATCATACATCAAGGAAACCTAGTAGTTCCTCAAGTACATCTAGTAGATCATCATGTAAACATCAAGAAAGATAGGTTTCTTAGCAAAATTTACATCTTTACTTCCAAACCTAAGGATGGCAAGCAAATCAAGAAAGAAGCAAGGCTTTCTTCCTCCAAAAATTTCACCAAGAGCTTCCATCCAAGCTTAATTCAAAGTTCTACGGAGTATTATTTTGACTTCTTGCCAAATAAGCAAGAATCAAGGCTTGAAATTGAGTTGGTTTTCTCTCCTTTTCCTCTCTCAAATTTCGGCCAAGAACAAAGAAAAACAAGGAGCTTTGTGTGATATAAAAGCTTGATTTGGATAAGAATGAACTCTTAGTCTTGGTCAAGGTTTCATGGATTAACAACAAGTGGCGCAACAAGGTGAATGTCTATTTATTTGCCTCTCTACTTGTTTCTAATCGCCAAGATATTCAGTGCTCCTCCAATTAATTCTTAGCACCTCTTGTTACATAATCCCTTTTGTACAAAACTCTCTCTAATTCACCAAATTTATTGCATACACCTCACTAGTTAGTCATATTAGCATAACGCACTATGAAATTCAACATGGACCAAGTTAAATAAGGTAAAAGGATAAAAAATCATGACTTAACCGTTAAATCAACAAAAAACTCAAGACAAGTAGATTAAAACACAAAATATAAAATAATTTTCAAGTCCTCACAAAAGATGTTATACTTTATGCTAATGATGCACTTTTTGAGACCCATTGCTTAAAATCTTTTTTGAGACCACTCTATTTTTTCCTTTATTGTGGTGGCACTCGTCTTTAATGACAGTGTTAAAACACAAAAAGACTGGTCGCATAAAGCTATAGAGGCCTTATTGAAGTTCACCATGGTTTCAGTCATCCATCTTTACCTACTTTGAAGAAGTTGTTTCAAAATTTTAAATATCTATCTCAATTAGATTGTGAGTCATGTTAGTTCTCCAAGCATCACCGTGCCTAGGGTCAATACTTGGGTTGCATCCTCGTTTGAATTACTTCATTTTGATATTTGCGGTCCTTATCAAGTAGTATTCAAATTATTTTTTAGGTATTTCGTCATCTGTGTTACTGATTACTCTTGTGCTATTTGGTTTTATTTAGTGCAAAGTTGTTCAAATTTATGCAATGTCTTTTATTCGTTTTGTGCTGAAATAAAGATAAAATTTAATGTCTATGTACACATTTTGCGAAGTGGTAATGCAACGGAGTATTGTTCTATGTCTTTTGAAACATACATGTCAAAAAATAGAATTCTTCACTGATCTTTATGTTTTAACACACCGCCTCAAAATGATGTTGTTAAAAGAAAAAATAGACACTTATTAGAAGTTATTAGAACCCTTCTATCTTAAGTGAAGGCCCCTAAGTAGTTTTGAATAGATGCTGTTTCAATGACTTGTTTCTTAATTAATCGCTTGCCGTCATTTGTACTTGCTTGGAGATTTCTTATAAGATTTTTTTTTAATCCAATATTTATTCCCAGCCAAACCCTGCATATTTGGGTGTAATTGTTTTGTTCGTGATATCCATTTTTAAGTATCTAAATTAGATTTTAAATCTCTCAAGTGTGTCTTTTTAGATTACTCTTGCCTTCAAAAAGGATATAGGTGTCATTCTTCAACTTTAGACTATTATTTAGTTTCTAGCGATGTTACATTTTTTGTGACCATTTTATTTTGTCCTAAGTCCAGCATCTATAGTTGTAACGAGAGGAAGATGATGTTCGAATTTATGCTGTTCTAACTAATATCGGTCCCTCTATTCCTACAAAACCATCTGTCACTCAAGTGTATTATTGTTGTTCTCAACTCATGCAGTTCCTCCATCTATAGATTCAAGTCTTTATCTGCCTATTGCTCTTAGAAAAGGTAAAAGAAAGTGTGCTTAATCAGTCCCTTTGTTTTCTTCATATGGGCATTTGTCTCATTTTTTGCATTATTTTATTGTTTCTTTAGATTTAATATCTGTTCCTAAGCACCTATCTGAGATTTGGAACATCCTGGTTGGTGGGCTTCTATGGAGGTAGAGATGGTGATTCTAGACAATAATGGTATCTATAACTTGGTCCAGCTAGCAACAGGGAAAAAATTTTATTGGTTGTAAATAGGTATTTGTTGTTAAGGTAAATCCTAATGGCTCTATTGCTCATCTCAAATGCGATCTTGTTGTTGCAGGAACGTGCTGACACATAAGAGTGGATTACCCAAATACTTTCTTCCCTATGGCCGAGCTTCCTTAGCTATGCAGTATGTATAATTTTTATTTGTATATGCAAAAAATAATGAGTTATTGGATGTTTGTTTCATGCGCTTATATTTTTTCTGTAACAATTAATTCACTAATTGAAGGATTACAAAAATTCATGCTCAGAATTAGGAACTTTGAGTATACAATTATAAGATATGGAAAAGATAAACACTTTATCTTAGTCCTATAAAATATCTATTCATAAACCCTTATAAACAATTACAAGATATGGAAAAGATAAACACTTTATCTTAGTCCAATACAATATCTATTCATAGAAAATAGAGGTCCCAATACAAATAAAAGCTTCTCATTTAGGGGTGGCAATTGGGTTGGGTCACGGGTTGGGGGGTCGGTTTGAAATTTAGGTATTCTAGACAACACATCAATTCAAATCCGATCCGAAATTTTAAATAAATAAACTTTCTTGACCCAAACATGACTCATTAATTTCACGGAACATGGGAACGTGACCTGAATAACCAGTGTACTTAATTTTCTTTTTATTTTTTAACCTTCTCAATTTGGTTGTATGGTGTTTTTTTTTATAATGGAGTTTCCAAAAAAATATAGAAAATTGCATCCCAATCTCATAGTAATTTTTGGGTTTTTCTTTGTGTACAAAAAAAAGTTGTGAACAAAACAAAACTTTGACACTTTCACAAATAAAATACCTTATTTTCGCATAATATTCATGATTCTATTCTCGTAATACTAATTTATAGCCTTAGTTAGTTTTCTTTTTATTTCTTTTATGCCCCTAATTTATTAATTAAATTATAAAATTACATATTAAATGGATTAGATGGGTCAAACGGGTCAATCCATGTTTACCTGAGTTGAACATGTTTATTTAGCTGGTTATTCGGGTTTGACCGTGAAGAGTAAACTCATACTCACTAATTTCGTGTTCGATTTGAGTCATGTTGAGAATTGATACCCCTATTCTCATTTGAGGCACAAAAATTTTTAGCAAAAAAATATCGGGATAATTACTTCCGATCCTAAGTTATTGATGACGCTACTTGAATGATGTTTTTGATCTCCACCTTCCCCGACTAAGGTTAATTAAGCATAATTAGTGCAAACTAATCTCAACCATTGACAAGAACTTCGTACCTGTGTTTCGCCAAAAGGACATTGAAAGCAACAAGAGTGGAGTTGTAACCGAGTGGAGCCAACTCCGTTTATGAGAAATAAGTGGCCTATAATTATTAGACATTTGTTTAAAGACGGGTAATTTATTGGCAAAGTGGGTTAAATCCAAAATCAATTAAAACGCCATATAAGAAAGAGAGTGCTTCTAATTATATATATATGTATGTATGTATGTATGTATGTATTTCAGGCCCATTTGGCTAAGAGACACATACAACTAGCACCAAAAAGAAAGGAAACATTTGCCCCAAGCAGAAGCTTTGAATTGCTTTGCATCTTTGGATTCGTGAGATCTGCAGAGAGAAGGTCCACCAATGCCAAGTAAATTAGGATACCGGCTGATGCTGAATCAAAAATTCCTTCCACTATGATAGCAATTGGGCTGTTCTGTTCGTAGACATTTGCTATTCCAATCCCAATCGCAATTCCAACTGGTGTTGTAAGCGAGAAGAAAACAGACATGATTGCAATTGCTCGCACATTGAATTTTCCCTAGAGATACAAAATTGGATAAAAGAGATCATTACATCACAATTCACTAAATTATCTACTAATATTCAAATATCTGAACATAATTGTAGGAAATTGGGCATAAGCAAATTAAATGTATATAGCAGCTATAAGAAGTTGCATTTCTACTGCAAATATCAGTTTTCTTTTTGTTTTTTCCCCTAGGAAGGTGTCAGACATTTAAAGAATAAAATTGACCAAACAAAAAAAACTGAGCAGCAAACAGTAAACAAAATATTCAAAATTTAAAGTAGCAAGTAGTAAAAATTCTATTTACTTTTTTTTTTATATTTTGCTTCTATTTACTTACTGTTCTTGGCATGTAGGAAATAGAAATAAGTGAACCCAGTAGTCCAACTATTTTAGGAAGAAGATACAGAGAAATGAATGCAATTAAAGAGATCTTAATGTGGCCAACCACGTATTGAAAGTTGACATGATTTCGACACCATGAAAAGATTTGCGAAATGACAATAACTAGAGATAGACTAATCGAAAATATCTGCATCCAGTACAGGGGTTAAATTCCTGTAATACTTATACAATTTTGATATAATTTTAAATGTATTCCCAGAATATTTTTAGAAAGGATATGAAAGAATTACGTGATTTTTTAAGTTAGTTCATAAACTAAAATTCTAAAAAGATACGTGGGGCATAAATTCCATTTGAAATAAGTTAAAAAAAAAATCTTTTCATTTCAATTAGTAAGTACCAATCATATCATTCACTTTTTTTGGATCCACTCCTCAATTTCCTTTCCCTCCTCTCGTCCCCCATTTTTCCCCCACAACCGAGAGCCATTTCCTTCCACAACCAAACAGCTAGTTACTCTCTCTCTTGATCAATTCATCCAATCATGTTATTCACTTCTTTTGTCCCCACTTTCCAATTTCTCTTCCCTCCACTGGTCCCCCATTTTCCCTCCACAATCGAGAGTCATTCTTACTTCCACAACCAAGTTAGTTATCAAAATATGAAAACTCGCAATGAACAATTGTAAATAGTTTAACTTGTTTTTGAAATAAAATTATTATTACATTAATAATTTTGAATTTGTCTTATGTTTTTTATGGAATATATGCATCATTTGTACTTGTTAGTAAATTTTTTTTTGGCTTAAAAAACTAAAAAAAGAGCAAGTAAAAAATTTTAGTGTTACTTTTGCCCTCTACTAAGAATTTCTTCTGGCTCCGCCACTGATCCAGTATTAAAAATTTGAATTTCTTTGTCGAATATGAAAGTACTAAACTACTGTACATAATTTTCTCTACTTTAATTGATTATCTTTTACCAAATGTGAAAGTATTGTTGAAGTTCACGCGACATAAAAACAAAAGTTAATAGCCAAACGAAATAAAAATGCAGCTAGCCCCAGTTACTTTGTTTACAGCCAAGATTTTCTAGTACATAGTAGATTAAACGTTTGGGGATAATTTCACAAACCTTCCATGAGATTTCTAACTATTTCATTGGCCTCCCTTCAGATTTTGAAAATTACATTAACCTCCCTTAAGATTTATTATCTTGTAGCATCTAGATTTAACCAACAATTAAAAAGTGATATTATAATAGAAAAAATAATATGATTCCACCGTTGCGTCTCATCTACTAGATTGTTTAATTAATCTAATACTAGTCCAAACATTAAAGAAAATACTAGAATTTGTTGTTTATCATTAGAGATTAAATCGTATATGGCATAAAAAATAGTATCATTGTATATATTTCACTTAATGTGTAAAATCCAAATTGCTCTTTTCAGTTATAAGCCTATTGTCAAATATAATTAGCAACAAATAATTAGAAAAATATGTAACCAAAATATTACAAAGAGCGAACTTTAATATCATAAAAATCTCAACAACTAACCTTAATATATTACCAAGAATATTTGTGATGTTAAAATTTCTTCTTTGTAATATTTTGGTTACAATTTTTTTGATTATTTGTTATTGATCAAGTTTAACAATGAGCATGTAATTGAAAAGAGTAATTTGGATATTGTATTAAGTAAAAATAAATAAAATGATATATTATTTTTTGATGTTATATATAATATATTATTTGATCTCTAATGTGTGTTGGTATTAAATTAATTCAATAATGTAGTAGATGAGTGGTAATAATGAAATCATATTATTTTCTCTCTCCTAACATCACTTTTTAATTATTGATTCGGCCTTAATATTGCGTTATAATTAATTTCAAGAGAGATTAGTATAATTTTCAAAATTTGAAAAAATATCAGTGAAATAATTAAAAACTTCGAGGGAGATTTCTAAAATTATCCTAAAAGTATATGCATTGAGATATTTTAAGCAACTTCAGTAGATTCAAAGTTGCATAAATATGGCTCCATTTAGATTCGACTGCTTTTCATAGATTAATTTTTTTTATAGAAATTATTATAATAATATACAAATAAAAATAACTCCGAAAATAATCTAAAATTTTCAAATGTACGAAATTTAAAACGAAAAAACCTATCCGTTTCTTTCTTCTTTCACCCAACACACCCACCACCACCTCCACTCTCCACCACCCCCGCCTCTCTCCTCCCTTTCTTCCTACCTTCCCCTCCTCTCTCTCGCAACCTCCCTCCCCATCTATAAAGAATGGTCCAATCTATTTGAAGAAAACAACTGCCAAGACTGCTAGAAATCCCACCAAAAAAATCAATTTAGCCCACCGTCAAATAGAAGACTAGCATCTACTGCAACGAGAACAAGAAGCGGAGGAAGAAGAAGACGATGATGCAAACCCCGCACCTAATCCGATGTTTGCTACCCTACCATAGCCTTCCTCCACATCACCATCTTTCAATTTCACGTATTCCGCATTTGGGTCCTTCTCCTTTTCTTCCCGTGCTTTTCTCCAACCCAAACCGACACCACCACAAACCCCCGACCTGCCTCTCCATTCTCTGTTTCATGCATTATCACCACACCCAATTAATTTAAAACCGACAATTTTATTAGAGAAAGTCAGTTTCTTTTGGATATTCTTGCAATGATTTAACCAAAAATCTTTTCTTAAATGGTTGTAACTGATTCTAATTAATCTTTTCTTGCGGGAGAGGGGAGGGGAGGGGAGGGGAGGAAGAGGGAGGAGGAAGAAAGAGAGGAAAGGAGAAGTATTTTAAATTTTTACAAATACTCCGTGAAATTTTAAATTTTAAACTTTAAAAATCCATCAAAATATATTTTCAAAAACATTCTAAAATATTTACAATCTAACCGTTTGGATTAAATATTTTTGAAAGCGCTTTCAAAATATTTTACTTTAATAATGCATATAAAAATTTTTTATTATAGGTATTTTTTGAAATATTTGATATA